CGTGTCAGAGATGCAAAACAGAAACAGTGACGATTTGAAAAATATGCGTGTGTGCGTGTCACCAGGACAGTCTGCTGAATATCAAGAGCCATCACAGACAGCGGCGCAGACTGACAGGTATTGTGTAGATCAACAAACAGAGGGGCTTGTTTGTATCTCGAATGACAGCAAACAACAATGCTGCGCTGCTGAAGAACAAAACACCTCTACTTTCTACTGTCTCTCGTCTCGAGCGCCTGATAAGAGCCGAGAGCGTTACGGAGACATGAAGGCGTTGTGTGGGCCGCTGGAGAGTGTGGGATAAAAGCATTAAGGGTCCGTACACGTTGCAAGAAAAAGAAAAAGTCAGGAGATGAGCGCATGCTGCTGGTAAACCGAGACTGCTTCATTTTCTACGTCGGGTCACATGGTAGAGAAATGAAACTGAGATTGCAAACACGTTATAATTAAAGCTCCTTTTACAGTCGTGGTATAAAATAGAGATTTCTAAATGTTTAAGTTTTAACAATGTGGCTATAAATTAAAAGGTAACAGTCAAATAGTGGGGGGAGTGGGGGGGGGGGGGAGCATTCACACATTCACACAAGTGCTTTTTTTTTCTATTCCTAAACAGTTTTAGCCTAACGTTCACAGACTCCTGCTCCAATGGATGTATTTCTTCTTTTTCTTCTTCCTCCCTGAGCCTGGTTCCGCTGGAGGCTTTTTCCTGTTAAAAGGGAGTTTTTCCTTCCCACTATTGCCAAGCGCTTTCTCAAAGCATGTTATCTCGTTACGGTCTGTACCTTGCAATATAAAGAGCCTTGGGGTGACTTTACATCAGCTCATATTCAGCTTTTTGTATAAGAACTCTATATGTACAGTAAAAGTACAAATGATAGCAGATGGGTTCGCTCATCAGACTTTACTTCAGCTCTCCTATACTTCTCTTAGTAACAAATCCTGAAAGTAAGTCCAGGTGACTCAGCCTCCACATTTTTATCAAAGATGACTAATCGGTGTCCTCCTCCACATTATACCTTTCCTCATCCTGTCTTCGCTTCTGACACTGCAGCGACTGCCTCGCTGGTCTCAAACAGCCCCGAGCATCGCTGCAGGGGGACAGAGAGGAAAACAAACGCTTTGGATCAGAGGTGATTTACCAGCGAGGCAGTTTGCCCTTCACAGTCTGCTTATACCTGCGTTACTCCTTCCGTGCGCAGATGAAAATCTCATTTCTACAGAAGCCATGAATGAAAGGGTGAACATATATTATCAGTGTGGTGATGACACGGAAACAGAGCTAAACCCGACAGTTAAACCACGACAATGAACGATGCGGCTTATGTGTCAATAAAACAGATGGGTTGTTTGTTTGTTTTTTAACAAAATCCATATGTTATTTTAAGAGGATTTGTTAAACTTCAAGGATAATAATCATTCCAGACAACAGGTGCACTGGAGAGGCAACGACAAGACAACCTCCAAAGAGGTAAGAATTTTTGCAGGTGATGGCCACAGATCACTTTTTCATGTCCCAGTCACTGCTGTTGGAATGAGAAAACATCTGGGATTGGTCCCGACCAATCTCCTTCTGGTCCCGGATCAGGGGACCAGTGAGCTCCTGGACAGTCTGTGGCACCATTTGGTTGCATCAGATGGACCTATACTATACATAATGTCCCACGGCCCTTTGAGCAGTATATTAATGTGCGTTATGCTTTATGTTTACGTCTTTTTCTTACCCGGTGGCAAAGAAATGTCAGGGCAATTTTATTTTATTTAAAAAAAGAAGTCATAATCATTTGATAACCTTTTGGTGGTGATGGTAGGGTTGTAGTGTGTACCGAGGATACAAACTCGTGTTTCATTCATGCTGCTCGAAACCAGTTCTGTTAACCTCTTTATTCCACTAAAATCAAGCAATTTCATATACAGAAAATTCACTTAATGTTGTATTATTACAGCCCTCAAAATAATAGATCCTCCTATGAAACTGTACTGCACTAATGGACTAAAGTAACCAAGATGGATATCAGGACAGCTGTTGTGCAGAAATACCTTTATTCCCTGTTATCTTAGGGGGGGGGGG